GTCGTGATTTGTTATTGGCTACTCCCTCCGTTTCACAATGTAAGTCATTCTAGCATTTTCCACATTCATATTGATGTTAATGAATCTAGACATATATATCTATCTAGATTCATTAATATTATTATGAATATGAAAAATGCTAGAATGACTTATATTGTAAAACGGAGGAAGTAGAAAATAGTGAGGATCCTAGATATATCGAGTTTATTACCGAAGTAAATATAGTACCAGATGTTTATTACAACTTCCCCACTAATATTTTCTTTCTAACCAATCACAACTCTCCACCATTCATTTTTTCCACCTACCTCCACTACACAACCAATCATATCCTTCCACCATTCATTTCTACCTACTTTCTTAATAACCGTATCTAAATCTAAAAATATTTATATTCCGGGACACAAGGAGTAGTTTTTTAATTCTTTTTTTCACCCATATGTAATATAGGCATGGTTTAGTTCCCAACTTTTTCTTCAGACTTCTAACTTTTCCATCACATCAAAACTTTTCCTACACACAAACTTTCAACTTTTTCGTCATATCGTTTTAATTTCAACGAAACTTTCAATTTTAACATGAACTAAACACACCCATAATCCATAATGATTAATCGGAACGGAGCATACCTACTACTCTATAGTACGCAAGAAGAGATCGATGTTCATGCATGCCAGGTCAATAAGTACAAATTGCAAAACCAGCTAATAACGGTGTGCATTAATTGGCTTTGTCAGAAGATTGTTCGAGATGTTAATGTGACAAGACGTAATAATCGACAACAGTCGGACCGGCCGGTCTACGTGCTCCCTCCATATCTAAGGGTGTGTTTAGTTCATACTAAAATTAAAAGTTTGGTTAAAATTAAAATGATGTGATAGAAAAATTGGAAGTTTGTGTGTAAGAAAGTTTTGATGTGATGAAAAAGTTGGAAGTTCGAAGAAAAAGTTTGGAACTAAACTCGGCCTAAAAGCAAGTTACTCAGGGCATCTAAATTTTTAGTCCAGGACTAAAAATGATCTTTAGTCCTGATTGATAACACCAACCGGAACTAAAGATAAAAAAAATAGCTCTAACCTTTTAAACCGGGACTAAAGAATATATTAGTTCTGATTTTTTTGCAATCGAGATTATTATGGAATTTGGTCAACTGACCAAAGATGGTTTCTCCAATAGTGTACAAACACATTTCCCTCCTATTTTTTCTAAAGATAGCATAAAAATCAACTTATTCCGGGACTTACTAAAGTGGTGTTTGTTCATACTTTAATATGAAGATGAAGTTTTAGATGAAGATGAAGATGAACTTAAAAAACAAATGTATCTGACATTTTAGAGAAACTTCTCTGTATATAAAGTTTTCATAAGAAATGTACCATTTAATAATTTAAAAATATGCCGATAAAAACTGAGGTAGAATATACAGTATATCTCAATTAATTAGAGAATAATGGGGTGCATCGCTAACCGCCGGCCAGAGACAGCCAGACAGGGCGGTGGCTGGCCATGCCAATGCAGGGCTAGCTAGCTCCTCTTACTACTGTATACATCTCCCATATGCATCTGCAGCTGCAGAGAGCAACGACGACGACGACTACTCGATCGATCGCTTACCATACAGTATACACATGTGTGCAGCAGTAGTGTTGCACACTCGTTTCACTGCAGCTGAGTTTGACGTCCAGAGACACTCGATCGATCAGAGCAATGCATGCATGCTTGCAAATTAAAATTGCAAAGGAAAGGATGGATCTAGCTAGACTTACTCTGTGCTGTGCGTTGATTTTGATTCCCAGCGAACAGTGCCCCCCCCCCCCCCCCCCTCCCCCTGCGAGAGCTTCATTATTTCTCGATCGCCCAGCAAAGATGGATCGCTCGATGGCGACGCTTCTCCAATTCACCTTTGTCCCGTAAACACTGCTTCTTTACCTTGGGCTGGCGATCGATCATCTAGAAGGGAAAAAAAATCTTGTTTCGGTCTTTATGTCGGCTTATTAATAAATTAAATATAATTTATAGATAAAACTTTATATGTATGTACTTAACGTCTTAAAAAAATCAATATTAAAAACGGAATCATGCTGAAAGAAAATTTAAAATTAACTCTAAAATTAAGGTTGAATATTTAAATTTTGACGACGCCTTATAAAGGCAAATTTCGTGTCACATATTAGGGTTATTTAGATTGAAACCAAAATTTTATCGTACCAATTTTTTGGCCATTTCAGTAGTATGACAAGCTCAGTTGTATTTAGTTTGCTACCAATTTTTGCTCATACTAATACAAATTGTATTTCAATAAATTTGGTATTGTCAAAACCCGTCCTGGTTTTGACACTGAAAAGAGGCATTACCACAATATTATAGGAAAAAACTAATTAACTTCGAACTAAGTTGCTGTGTTACTCAGTTCGTTTCAGTGACACAGTATGCAGTAGTATAACAAAGTACTACTTTCGTTCTAAAATAAGTACAACCGTGGGTATCTTATTTGAAAAATTTACAATAAAAAGTTTAAAAAATTAGTCACACAAAGTAATATTCATGTTTTATCATCTAGTAACAATAAAAATACTAATCATAAAAAAATTTCAAATAAAATAAACGATCAAACGTTGGACATATAAATAGTGAAAAGCTTTACATATATTTTATAGTAGGGAGGGAGTACTACAGTACACGACAGTTTGATCCGTAATCCGTAGTACGTACACTAGCTCGGCATGTTCCAGTGTTTCATTCCCAAATCAGATTTTACCAGGAAGACTTGCACTGTTGCAGTCAATCCTGTCCTTTGCAAGATGCAGGAGTACCCACACCCTGTGTACTACATTGATCTGGTCCTGATCACCTGACACACATCTCTCTTGCTTTCACAACTTGTTGCATATCCCTACACCCTGTATGATGACTCGCCTTTTCTTTACCCGTTCATTGTGTTGTTTCCCTTCACAAGTACAAATCAATCCCTGAATGCGCACGTCCGTGTGTTGCGTATGCCCATGCATCACACAAATCTAGTACTCCCTCCTCTCAATTTGGCTTTGTCCGAATGTGGGGATATATAGCTGGATATATAGGTCGAGATTTTTAGCGGCATATAAAATGAGATTAGGTATTAGTATATAATTAATTAAGTACTAACTATTATAAAATAAAAATAGATTTATTTTTTAAAAGAATATATATAAAGTTTTTACGATACACATCATTTAATGGTTTGAAAAACGTGTTTATGATAGATGAGAAAGGTAGCTGAGTCAAAAAGCTAATAAAAACTCCTCCTAAGTTGTTTAAGAAAACATTAACTTTTTTAAATACTTGTCCAGTTACACAATCAGAAATTAAGTTTTTTTTAAGCGGAGTAATATATCTGTCTTTTTGTTTTTCTCTCCCATGTGGTGGTCCTGTGAAACTCTCTGCGCATTGTCTGAAGGATTACATTTGCGACCAATTAATCGAGCTCACTCCAGAACAGTGCAGACAAGCCTTACTACCTAGCAGCAGCATGACGTACTTGGACCTGGACAAAACTCTGAATATTCTGAAAAAACCACACACATGCATATTGACATGCACACCAAGAAGCACTGTTCACTTGGAGAAAACCTCTGACCAGTCATTACTCAGATGGAGCTGGCATCTCTCCCAACCACAACCTAGCTATATAATAGACTGGAAATGGCTCTCTTCCAATCAGTGGCTGTCCAAGAAAAATGACAAGAAACGAACAAAAGGATGGAACCAAAAAAAAAAAAAGGTATAGTACAACCAAATATTTGGACGATAGATGCATGGCGATATTTTTGGGGTGCATTACATGGATTGAGCCATATATCTTGTTGCTTTCTTAATTTCACACCATCCAAAAAATACAACAGACAACTCTCTAGCTAGCTTAATTGCTTTTGCGTGTCCGTGAGAGAGATGTACTGAAGTGTGTGTCCCTCTCTCAAATAATAATCAATATATATATATATATATATATATATATATATATATATATATATATATATATAGGATTAATTAATCAATTAAGCACACAATTAAACCTATACCCATCTATCCCTAAAATATCAACTTCCGGAGGTACGGCCAAATTCATCCTTAAAAATTAATTATTTTTAGGACGGAAAGTGTGTAGCTAGCTACGGCAGCGTACTTGCAATCTCATTTTTTCGCTTATACTTATAAGCCAATATTTAAATTTTTAATTTTAAATTTAGAGTTGATTCTAGGGTTTTTTTAATTGTAGTTTTATTTTTCAACCTTTACTTTTATATCACCAAGAACGCGTATATAAAAGTTTTATTCATAAATTATTTTTCGTTTACAAATATACCATTTTACTTATTCCTTGAATAAGCCAAAAGATGGCCCGTTGGACTAGTTGCTGACCAAATAATTACTAAAGCAGTGAAAGAAAGTTACATTTTGATCAAATTAAGTTAAGTTCAATTTTCACCACACGCACAAAAATGGCTGCCTCAGTACTACTAGTCAGTAGTGCTTCGGCTACTTTTTCCTTACACTTTATAATTAGGATGAGTGATCAAAGAACACTAGCTAGTTAATTACCCAATTGATAGCAATGGTACTAAATTAAAGCCGTCATTTGAAGTTGTTGCTTAATCAATTGCCCCCTGCACTGAATATATATGCATGCAGGAACCTAGCTGCTAGCTAGGAGTTGTACATATACTCCCTATGTTTCACGCCGTTGACTTTTTATCATATGTTTGACCGTTCGTCTTATTAAAAAATTAAGTAATTATTAATTCTTTTCCTATCATTTGATTCATTATTAAATATATTTTTATGTAGACATATAATTTTACGTATCTCATAAAAGTTTTTAAATAAGACGAACGGTAAAACATGTGCTAAAAAGTCAACGGTGTCAAACATTTCGAAACGGATGGAGTATATAATGATAATATAGTAATGGTTGAGGAGGAGGAGGATTCAATTATGGACCATTGATGGCCAAATTAACAATGTAGTGCTTGCATGTAAAGATTTTTATTATACATAATTAAGTCATTAATGACTTAGCTTAGTTGACACTCTGCAGGTAGAGCCACTAGGCAAGAGGGAAGACAAATTCAGAAGACAAGAGCCCCAAACTGAACAAAAAGGCAAAGCTACAGGACACTTGAAACGAAAGGGGAAAAAATCAAGCAGAAATATATATTAAGCCTGCCTGAAAAAAGATTAAAAAAAGAAGAAAAAAAACTGGAAACCTATGTACAGATTTAGGAAGCTGGAAAAAAAAGGAGAGATTAAAATTAAAGAAGCTAGAGCTGTTAATTACTTGGTAATTAATTAGAGATTAATTATTATTATGATCGAATCACAGGTTCCATAAGAGGGCACCAACCGACTGGGCCCATCCATGGTGGTCGGCGTCGAGGCCGAACAGGTCGTCGTGCGCCGCGGCCGCCGCCGCCGCCGCGGCGGCCGCCGCGTAGCCGCCGTCGATCCAGACGGGGTCGCACCACGGGTGTTCCGCCGCCGTGTCCTGGAACGCGGCGCCGAACACGAGCTCGGCGGCGTCCAGCTCGTCGAGCCGCGGCAGCTCGACGATCGCCTCGAGCTCGTCGTCCGCCGCGCCGGCGCCGCTGACACCGCCGTTCTTGGGCGTCAGGAATGCGGCGGCGGCGGAGTCGGCCTGCACGGTGAGCGACGACGGCGGCGGCTGGGGGGGCTCCATGGCGGCGGCGCGGGCGGCGGCGGCCTGGACGTCGCGCGGGGAGGCGGAGGCCGGGCGCGGGAGCGAGGCGGCCATGTCCGGGAAGTTGAGGACGGCGGCGGGGCCCTTGACGACGAGTGCGGCGGCGTCGTGGGCGCGCGCGGCCATCTCCGGCGTCGGGAACGTGCCGAGCCAGATGCGCGACTTCTTCCGGGGCTCCCTGATCTCCGACACCCACTTCCCCCACGCCCGCATCCGCACGCCGCGGTACGACGGGTGCCTCCCGCCATCCCCTGATCTCCCCCTCTTCTCCCCTCCTCCTCCTCCCCTCCTCCCCTCCACCGGCGACTCCGGCGGCGACGCCCCACCCGACGACGCAGGGCTACACACCTCCAGCTCCGGCATTGCGGCCAAAGCAAAGCCTCGAGCTCGAGCTGGAGCTTGAGGTAGCAATGGAGGAGGAGTGAGGCTGCGTCGAGGAGGTGGATGAGTTGCCCGTTTTAGTAGTAGTGGGCGGCAGCGGGTGAAGAGGAGAGAGGAGAGAGAGAGAGAGAGAGAGAGCTCCGTGTTCACAGCGACAGCTGAGCTAACCTCCTCACCTCGATCGAGCTCGCCTCTCAATGGCTAATTAACTGAGCTAATGACGCATTAGCAGTATAACCACGTAGTACTGGCAGTGTGTGTCAGCTGCAACCCATCATTGTGTGGCTAACTATGGCTATTATATATGAGATTTTTTCCGGTCCAACGAAAAGTATCTCGATATACCGGTACCTGACGTTACCAAATTGTTTTCGATCGTTGGATCGAGCTGGTCAGGATGTGCATTGTTAGATTCAACAATTAGAAAATGATTTGGTACCGATATCTCGAGATATTTTTTTGTTGAACCGAAGTAAATCTTATTATATATATAATCTATAGTTAATTAGTCCCTTTATCCCTAAATATTTAACGCCGTTGACTTTTTTAAACATGTTTGACCGTTCGTCTTATTTAAAAACTTAAGTGGTAGTAGCATATTTAACAATGAATCAAATGATATGAAAAGAATTATTAATTAATTAAAATTTTTAAATAAGATAAACGGTTAAATATGTTTTAAAAAATCAACGGCGTCAAAATATCTGGAGAAGGAGAGAGTAGATAGATAGAAGAAATATATAGCGCCGCCATAATGCCGTATAGTTACGGGGACCCGATTTGGAGTTGATGTACGTACGGTTGACGAACCATGCAAGGATTCGTTGGGTTGCTTACACTTTTTTGGTTGGTTTAAGTACCTAAGTGGTTAGACTGGTACACACATTGCAAGCCGTTGCATGCAGTACACTGCTTTAGTTTCGATCGACCGTTCGATCTCCGATTTAATTCGTTGCATATGCACCCAGCTCTGATTGATTTTGCTACGTACTCTCTCCGTTTCAACTTAGGCCTGTTTATTTCAGCTTAAGATTATTATAATATAGATTATTAAATCAGATTACTATAAGCTGGATTATAATAAACTGACATAGAATAAGCTGTTAGCCTTTTGATTCTCTGGATTATTAGCTGTTATTCACCCAATAATTTAGAAAAAGCACCTTTAGAGTGGATTATCATATTATAATAATCCGGCTTATAGATTATAATAATCAATCATAATAAGCTATCTGTTTGTTTCAGCTTACTCCTAATAATTCAGATTATCATAATCCTAAACTGAATCAAACGTGGTCTTAATTACTAGTCGTTTCGGATTAGTTATTATAAATCAAATGTGTCTAGCTAGCTAACTTTGACTATTAATTTTTGAAAATCTGCATGGTTTGGCAACATTATGATAGGATTTCTCATGATAAATCTAAATATATAAATCTTGTGATGTGTCAAACTATATAAGTTTAATTATATAAATTCATATTCAAAGATTAATATCATTGACCAATTAAGGACAAATCTAGAACAAGTAATTTGAGATGAAGGGAGTACTTTTGATCACCTGTAATAATTAAGCAACTAATTTTGGATTTAATTTTTGTGTACACAGCGATTTCCTTAATTTGGAACGCAAGGATTTTAGGAACGCGTACATAATTGCAAGGGAAATATTTCATAAGTGAGGTTCTAAAAATAATAGGCCAAATTTGGTTTGGTTCGGAACTTCGGATTTAGTTTCTGTTTATACCAAGTTCATGCTCTTGATGCATTCATGTGGCAATTTAAATATTTAATCAGACTAGAAAAAATGCCCGTGCATTGCAACGCGTGAGGTTTCTTTTGATTATTATTATATGGTTTAGTTAAGGTAAAATTCACCGTGAGAATTCGCTTGGATTTGTTTAGTTTTACAGAATCATGAGCGGCAATTAGGAGTCTGATCGTCTCAAGTTAGCATGCGAGTTTTTTTAAAGAGATTTCTTATACGACTCTTCTTCTGTATTTCCAAAAGCATTTGAATTTAAAAACCGACTCAAACACATATATGTATTTTTAAAAACGAGTGAATTTAAAAACCGAGTCAAACACGAATGACATACCAAAGTACCTGAAAATTATGAGCTGGTCTGGTACCATGCATGCGTGTATTATATTATATATATACTACTAGCACATAAGTGGTTCCCTCGTTAATCGGACAAAAATGGAAATGTTGTAACTTTGGTTGAATATATACTAGCTGAATGCGTCATAATTAAAAAAAAATGCAAATTATGATTAACTAATGTTAAAAAAATTTTAAAAAATAATGGAGAATATAAACACTACTACATGACAAATACGACAAACACCCATGGGTCGTCTTCCGGCTAGCTCCACAAGATAGCGGGCTAAATGATCTGGGTTCGAAGTCTCACCCCTTCTAATTATTTCATATTAGGTCGTTCCCTAATATTCGTGTTTTTTACTACATGACAAATATACACATTCACAAATACTTCAGTACAGAATTTCTGGTTTGATTCATAAAGCAACTCATAGTAAAATCTAGCCATGAAACTAAATGAGCAGAAAGATCTGGCTAGATATGTACTACGATCCCCAATTGCACGTGTCCAGGTCTTGTATGCTGGTAAACAAATGTGTAACATTTATCTCCATGATAAATAAACTAGGAATCATGTGGCTTGGTTGTTATGAAACCACACGATAAGTTATTTTAGCTAGGGTGGTGACTGCAGGTCAAACAATCAACCACCACATATACCCACATTTTGCCTGTAATTTACTTCATTATAGAGGAGCTTCTGATCACTTTTATACATCTACCTGTATAAATCAATATCCATGTTGGGTTAATTATCTCTGCTTGTGCACAGAACTGGAATATCACTGGTCGATTTCATCCTTCCTCTGCCAAGACTACAAACAATTGTGATTGATTCCCAAATAATTAGTAGACAGATTAACTTATCACACTGTGAATTAACCTTATCTATTGACCTTTGCTACAATGTGTGTATGGTCCCCTTAAAAGGACCTCTGTTATAAATATAATGATACAGTAATCAATTAATTAGAATGACTAGAAAGTCCAGATTCTAGAAAGAATCCATCAAGCAGAATCTCAACCTACTACTGGGCCGCCAAAAGCCTAAGGCCCAATTAGACACCACAGCTGTATAAGTATAATCTTGTCTTCAAAATTTTAAAAAAGAGAAATGTGTCCTCTAAAAGAGGGAAAAGAATTTAGCTATACTTCATATGTGGTTCGTGGATTCAACAGTAATTAATTTCCAAAATATGCATGTGATGCGCTATATATATGCATGCATGAATCGGCAGCTGTTGCAGATGAAGAATCTGAAATGAAATTATTCTGTACTAGCTGTACATGCCTGCCTAGTTAAACAGCATCACCACTGTGAGAATTATTATTTTGACGGTGTACAAGTGGGACCTGACAACCCATTCTGTTCTCTTTCTTTCATGGCCGCCTAGCCTAGCTAGCAAGCTTCCTCTGGCATGATGACGTGTGTCGTGATGTCAGCGTACGTCAACAACGCTCGGTTAATTTGGCCCTGTTTAGTTATCAAAACAAAGAATTTTACATCATCACATTGAATGTTTGTACACATACATAAAGTATTAAATATAGACAAAACAAAAAAACCAATTACACAGATTACGTGTAAATTGCAAGACAAATCTTTTAAGCTTAATTGCGCCATGATTTGACAATATGGTCCTATAGTAAATATTTGCTAATGACAGATTAATTAGGCTTAATAAATTCGTCTCGCAGTTTCCTGACGGGATATATGATTTGTTTATTATTAGACTATGTTTAATACTTTAAATGTGTGTCCGTATATTTGATGTAACAATAATCAAACCCAAAATTTTTCCCAACTAAATAAGTCCTTGAATTCAGAAAGAGCAATTGGCACGGATGCAGGGACTGTTAATATGTTTTGGAAACAGTCCGAACTTCACATTAGTCTAAAACATTAATAATGTCACAAATAAACAGCACCTCGATGGCTTTTTTTTCTTAAATATAGTAATGGTTGATATATATCATTCCTCGTGAATTAATCGGAATTATTGACAGTGTACTGGTTGCTAGCCCGAATTAAAGAACTTCTTGTTTATGTCAACTTATCTCTCTCTCTCTCTCTATATATATATATAGACCTAATTGGCAATTAATTAACTTATCAAAACTTGCAGGCCCAGGCGATTCATCGGTTTAATATTTGCTTAAGCAAAGTAGTTGAATGCATCTATAATTTACTGGAGTTTCGATCGATGTTCTGAGTAAATAATGTCCTCCCCATTATTTGTCGGCACCCTAGTTTTGCTCGTCGACAGTACGGCAAGAGTCCCTGTCAGAAAAGGCATGCAGATGAGCAGATCTTTCCAGTTATATATATGCCGGCAAGCTAGCGTCCCCATGTAATCCATGAAGCTAATTGCATGATTTACTGACGTTAATTACAGATCAAAGACAATTATCTAGTTGATGAGGGTTAATGATTTGTTTATATATAATGTCTTCGTTCTTATTTAGTAATCTATGCTGTCAATCTTTTCCTATATGAGGGGTTAGTTTGATCACAAATAAGGCAAAAACTATCTTAATTAAGCCAGGTTTAAAATAGATTAATTATCGCTTCGGGCTTTAAAAACTATGTTTACTTTCTTCTATTTCATTAATTACACCAATGTTTTAAGTTATTTATTAAGTTAATTTCTTGAGTAAATAATTTGCAGAAATAATATGTTTAAAGACCTAAACCAGACATAGTCTTAGGGGATGTTTGGTTTATGGCCACACTTCCACACTTTTAGGTACTTACAGTTTGTTAGACATGTGTTTGGTTTATATTACAATTGTGGCTTGCCACACTTTTCAATAACATTGTCCCACAAGTTATAGACTCTTTTTTTTTGCCAACTTTATCACACTTTTGTGGCATAGCAATTTATCCACCACATTTTTGTGGCTACCACAACTTGTCTAACCTTAATTGTGGTAAAGTGTAACCAGCAACCAAACACACCTTTAATGTGGTTACGAATTGACTCACTTTTAAAATTTTCATACGCATTATAATTTTATTGGTTCTCCATCTGTTTTATAAATATATGACACAATCGACTCATGAGCGTTTTTTACCATTCAACTTATTCTAAAATTTTAATTAGTGTAAATATAAAAATTACGTCATATTTAAAGTGTCTTTAATGATAAAAACATGTAAAAAAATACATAAT